ACCCCACCTTTCTCCTGCTCCATCAGGGACTCTCTTGTGTTCCCTGTCAAGGCAGTCACTGGTGGTAGCCGGGCACCATCTAGTTCTTCTGGTCTCAGGCTGATGAAGTCTCTAGTTTATGTGGCCCTTTCTGTCTCTTGAGCTAATACTTTCCTTGTGTCTTTGGTGTTCTTCATAGGAGAATATGCATTCTTTTCAAACACGTGGAATGTTCTCCAGGACATACGTAAAAGCATATAATACAGGCTAGGCCACAAAACAAGTCTTAATAAATTTAAAAGAATTGAAGTCATACAAAATACATTCTCCAACCCAGACAGAATTAGAAATCCACAACAGAAGGAAATTTGGAGATTCTACAAAGATCTGGAAATTAAGTAGCATATTGTAAATAACCCTTGAGTCAAAGATTACATCATAGGGGAAATTAGAAAGTATTTGAACTGAATGAAAACAAAAACATATCAAAATTTATGGCATGCAGCTAAAGGAGTGCTTAGAGGGACATTTTATGGCTTTTAAAAGCAAGTTTCCACTCTCCTTTCCAAATCAACTTAGTGCCAGAGCTCTGGGTCTGACAACACCCTTGCTTATTCTGGGCTCCACCTTTTCATCTCAAATGCTTCATAAATGCCTGATCCCCATATTCTCAGTAAGGATTAACACTATTCTTCAAGCAATAGCATAAGGACAAACTCTCTTCATATGACCTGGTGCCACACTTCATCCCAGATGTAAATTTTCTTTCCCCAGCTTGGCCATGCTTTTCTCCTCCAAGCTGGCTTCCTCGTATCTCCAACTACAGCTGCCTAGCCAGTCAAAAGCCAAGAGGAGCAACAGAGGCAGACGGGGTGCAGCCCCAGCCTCCTGCAACTTCCAGCCCTAGAGCTGCACAACACTGACTGAGGCAGGGGCAGGATCTGGAGATTGTGGAGGGCAACAGGCCTCTCCAGCATCTTCAGCAGCCAGGATCCCTCCACACAGAAGCAGCCCTGACTTAAGGGAGCTAACCTTGGCAACTTTGGTCTCCTGCCTGACTGTCCAACCCAACCTAAGGTCACAGGACTGCTGACTCAGGTTAAGATCTGCTTATTATTTTTCCAATAGCTTAACCATTGACTTTTTGTGACGAATTTTCAGGATTTAATTTTTATCAAATGAATACAGACAGTTTTAAGTCAAGTAATTTTGCAAGGTTTATAATGATAAACAGTATTTCCCTGACCCACCCCACCCTTGCAAGTCTCAGTTCCAAGGTTGTAAGCACTCTGAACTCATATAGCTGTTTTGTCTGGTAGTTAACTCATTATTTAATTCATACTTACACTGCTACTTGGTTTTTAAGTTTCACATATGCTCCACTGACTTGGAAGCTGAATAGCTCTCATCCTACAGACACGCATTACTCCCCCCCCACACACACACACACACACTTGCCACCCATCCTTTCACTTGGTTTTATCTCCTTTTTTAGGTTAAATCAGTATTCATTGTTTTAACTGTGTGAATATTATTCTCAGCTGAGGTATGTCATGTCCTTTTATCCAACATTTTATTGTTAAAAATTTCAAATGTACTGCATAGTTGAAAGAATTTTACCATGCACACCCGAATACCCAACACTACTAGGTTCTACCATTAACATTTTAGTAAACTTCCTTTATCACATCTTTTTCATCTGGTCATCCCTATATCATCCGTTAATTCATCTTGTTTTTGCTACCTTTCAAACTAAATTGTAGACATCCACACACTTCACCCTCAATGCTTTTCTTATAACATCTTCATCTGGTTTTGATATCAGTGTAATGCTGGACTCATAAAATGAGTTGGGAGGTGTTTCCTATTGTTTGACAATTTTATTGGGGTGTACTTTACCATGAAATTCACTCACTCTGTGTAAAATTCAATGATTTTTAGTCAGTTTATACATTGTGCAGCCATCCCTGCAGTCCAGGTTTAGAACATTTTTATCACCCCAAAAAGTTCTCTCATGCTTGTTCAGTCAATCTCCACACCCATCTCCAGCCCCAGAGAAACACTGATCTGCTTTCTGCCCCTAGAAATTTGCCTTTCTAGAATTCCCTATAAATAGAATCATGTAAGATGTAATATTTTGTGTGTGACTTCATTCACTTAGCTAAAGATGTTTGAAGTCCATCCATGCTATAGCATGAATCAATAGTTTTAGTGCTGAGTAATACTGTATTGTATTGGTATACCATAGTTGATCAATTCACCATTTGATGGATATTTGGGTTCCCGTTTTTTGGCTGTGATGAATGATGCTGCCATGATCATGTGTATACAAGTCTTTATGTGGACATTTGTTTCCATTTCTCTTGGACAGATACCCAGAAGTGGAATTGCTGGGTTTTATGGTAAGTATGGAGCCCTGGTGGCACAGTGGTTAAGAGTTTAGCTGCTAACCAAAAGGCCAGCAGTTCAAATCCATCAGCCGCTACTTGGATACCTTATGGGGGCAGTTCTACCCTGTCTTATAGGGTTGCTGTGAGTCGTAATCAACGCAACAGGTTTTCGGTTTTTTAATGGTACTTATATAACTTTTTAAGAAACTGCCAAACTGTTTTCCAAAGTGGCTGTACCATTTTACATTCCCACCAGCATTATATGTGGGTTCATATTTCACTGCTTCTCACCAAAACTTGGTATTATCAGTCTTTTGTACTACAGTCATTTATATAGTGGTATCTCCTTGTGGTTTTAATTTTCACTTCCTTAGTTACTAATGATGTTGAGCATCTATTTATGTGCTTATTCTCCATTCATATATCTTCTTTGTGAAATGACTATTAAAATCTTTTGCCCATTTTTTAATTGGGTTGCTTGTCTTCTCATTATTTAGTTGTAAGAGTTCTTTATATAGACTGCATGTAAGTCTTTTATCAGATACATGATTTGCAATTGAAATCTAGGTAAAGTGTATGTGAATGTTCATTATACTTATTCTTTCAACTTTTCTGTATATTTGACTTTTTTTTTTCAAAATAAAAAATTTTAAAGTTAAAAATAAAATAGACACATAACTTGTAGAAGCTCTCCTGGAGTTGAATGTAAATCTTAAAGAGACCTTATGGAGACCATCACAGCTCTGAAAAAATGAGCTGTTTCAGGAAGAGACAGAATGGTTTGCATGTTGTATAGCCTTCAAATGCACACTAAAGAGAAGGTCTGCATGAACTGAAGAAGGGTGGATAGATAGATATGTGATAAAGCAAATGTAGTAAAATGTAAATAGTAAAATCTAGGTGGTGCATATAAACTGTAATAGCCTCACCTGGGAGAAGTTGCCTTGCAAGAAGGGGATGCCCATTCTCAAAACCCCCCCAACTACTCAGCATGCTGCAGTATAAAGCCGGGACACAGGAGGAAATCACATAAACCAAGTTGCAGTGTCCTGGTGAGGGAGTCCAGCCTAAGCTGTCATCCCTGCTTCACACCATTGGACACTTCAGCCCAGGGGTGGAAGTGACCTTCCCAGGGTCACACAGAGCATTTCAGTTAGAACCTGGGCCTTCCGATGTCTAGTGTTTTATCCACTCAGTTCCACTTTTTCTGGCTGCTGAAGCTGGACACACCCTGCTGTCCACTTGTGGTGAACCAGCAAAAGTTACGTCACCCTCAGTCCCAACCCTAGGTATATACCCAGAAGAAGTGAAAGCAGAAACACAAACGGAAACCTGTACAACAGTGTTCACTGCAGCACTTTTGACAGTAGGCAAAAGGTGGAAACAACCGAAATGTCAATCAACAGATGAATGGGTAAACAAAATGTGGGGTATCCATACGATGGTATACTACTCAGCCACAAAGAGAAATGAAATCCTGATGCATACCACTACATGGATGAACCTTGAAAACATGCTGAGTGAAATAAGTCAGTCTCAAAAGGACAAATACTGTATGATGTCACTTATATGAAATAAGCAAATATATATAAACCAAAGATTATTAGTGGTTACCGGGGTAGGAGGAAGGGGGAAAGAGGAAATTTTTGCTTAGAGGGCAGTGAGTTTATGTTAATAGTTTGAAAAAGGATGGCAAGAATTGTTGCAGAACTTAAAGAATGTAATCAATGTCACTGAATTATGCATGTAGAAGTTGTTGAATTGGCAATGTTCTATGTGTATTTTCACCACAACTTAAAAAAGGAAAAAAGTGTTGCTCCACTCCAAGCCCTAGAATGTATTTTCCTCCCACCTGTCCGAAGTGCCTGGCATTGTGCCTGTGGGAGAACTAGTCTCGTTTGTCATCGAAGCCCAGGAGCAGGAGTTGGTTATTTTATCACCCAGCACAGAGCAGGGCTGTGGAAATCAAACTCAAAAAGGTCCACAATGTGAACTGAAGGACTGTGAATGGGAAGACAGAGAGCCTGGATTAATTGAAACTGCACCATGTGCTTGCCAGGTGGCCTCGGACAAGTCTCTTAGATGCACTGAGTTCCAGTTTCCTCATCTACAAAATGGACATGGCATCTGCTACCACACAGCTTTATTGTAATGATTAAACTCACATTTGAAAATGTTTTGTAAACTCTGTAAGAACAGTAGCTGTTATAAGCACTGCTGGGAGCTGGATGTAGTGAGTTTGAGGTTACCAGGGTCCTCCACTTGAGAGAGAAGAAACTCCTGAGGCTCTAGGTATCATGGGGGACATGCAACACCAGGGTGGTTTAGGGGTCTTTGTGCCTGGCCTTGCCCCTACTCCCCCATACCCACGATGATATCCCTGTCCCACAAGTAGCCCCCAGGGAAAGCCAAAGCCCATTTGCATCTCAGCAGAGTTTCCAGGGAGTTGACACTGGGCTCTGAGAGGGTGCTGGCTCAGGAATCAAAGGTCATGCAAACTCCTGCAGGAGGAAGTAGTTGTCTTGCAAGACTGTCCTTCGGCATTGTTGAATAATCTTTAATCTGCCCCGAGAGGAATGTGGGCATTTGGCATTTGGCTGCAGAACGGCCTTTTATTTTCTAAGAAGTGTGGACTGTGGTGCAGATACGCTTCCCCTTATTCTGGTGGAATTATGTGGGCACGGCCAGGCCCAGAGCACAATGGGAGTTTGCTGCCCTCCTGCAACATCTCCTGTTTGTCTGATGCAGACTTGTTCCCAGCAGGACTGAGTCAGCCAAGGGCAGCACATGCTCTCCTCCCTCCCTGCTTTGCCCCCTCTTCTCCCGCAGTCAGGTGCCCACAAAGACTGTCCTAAGACACCGTTTTTCCTCCCACAGGTGCAGCCCCAGCCCACTCCCCTCCAATCCCACCGCCCCAGGTTCCCCCACCAGAGGCACCTGTCTGGTGTGCTATTACCACCTGCCTATGTTTAATTCATGACTAGGGGTTGGGAAGAGCTTCCTAAGAAAGGAAAGAACTCCCCTGAGGTCTTGCCCAGTTCCTGCCCGCCCACAGGGCACACTGCTGAGGCCCCAGTTTCTTCCCCAGGCCTGAGGCTAGCTCGTGGAAGCTGCTCAGGGGCTCAGAGGACGGTATCCCGGCCAGGGCACAGCCACCACTCACTAATCCACAGGCCTGGAATGTCTGTGGGCCAATCAGCAGGGTATTTGGGGGCTCCCCGAGGGTGCTAATAATCCTGCAATGATTAGCAGGAGCCTCAGGGTCAGTGCACACTGCTCTGTCTGCTGTGGGCGGGCCAGGCCAGGCCAGAGGACGAAGAAGGGAGGTGAACCCAGGAGATGTCTGTCTCCACATGCCAGCGCCGACGGGAGACTGTTTAGACACACCGATTACTCACCAGCCTCCCTTCTTTGTCTGCCAGCCCAGCCCAGCCTGACTCCTTGAGGTTGTGAATAGCTCCAGCCAGCCGGCCTGGGAAGCAGCTGGACACTGAGCCCGCAGGGCCAGAGCGCCCAGCAGGCCCATGCTGCAACCAACACCCTCCCCTGGGCTAGGGGGCTGGCACTGCCAGCCAGGCCTCCTGCCCGTGCTGCTGGCTCTCCTTGGCATCACCTGGGTAGAGATGCAGCCATTCCAGCTGCAGGAGAAGCAAGCTCTGATGCCCGGAGGTATGTGGGCTGCTGCGTGAGGAGAGGTGGAGGAGCTACGAGCTCTGTGGAGGGCGCTTGGGGACTTGCGGAAGCCAGTTCCCAGGCCTGAGCCCTGGGCTGTGCTGGTAGCTTTAATGATGGACCCCTCAGGACAGTCCAGAGGTGGAGAGGGAGGCTGGGCCCGGGAGGAAGACAGATGAAAGAGGTGGGTGCAGTGTTGGGGGTCAAGGAGGTGAGGAACACCAGGTTGGAGCCTGTGGCTGGGGCTCCAGAAGAGACTCGATGGCCGAGACGAGGCCCAGCTAGAAAGCTGCTGCAAGTCCAGGACCAGCACCCTCCTCACACCCAGCCCCAGCCCACCAGACTCCTCCATCTCCCCAGGTCCTTTCTCCGTCTCTCTGGCTGCCCGCCCTCCTACGTGGACCCACCATCCTCCTCTCCAGTAGTCCTCAGGCCTGGCTTTCTAAGGGCAGGGTTGCACTCTCGTCTTCCCATGGTGACCCCCACCCCATCATCCTGGGCACAAGCCCTGGTCCTACTGCTCACACAGGCCCGATGGCCTCTCTTCCACTCCCAGTCCTGAGTCAGAAGGAAAGTTTCCTGCTCCTATCCCTACACAACTGCCTACGCAGCCGGGTCCACCCCCCCCCCCCCCCCGCAGCCAACATGCAGAGAATGGTGAGTGCCCCCAACCCAGACCCCTGCAAAGGGGGCTAGAAGGCCACAGCATATGCCCTTCCACCTGTGCCGGCTGGGCAAGGACAACCGGTCACCTTGCCCACCGGGGGGATCGTGGCCCTCCCTTGTTGCTGGGAGGCTCTGCAGCTTCCTCCTCCCCAGGGTGACCCTCAGTGCAGGAGGCTGGGCCCCTGGCTCATGCTGCCTGAAGAGCAGAACTTGGGCCTTCCTTCACATCCCGTTGCCACGGAGATCAGGAGACATGAAGGAGTCAGGGTCCCCTCCTCCAAAAAAGGGGATTTTCACAAAGAAGTCCCAGCAGGATCAGAGGTCAGGAGACAGGGAGGGAGAAGCATCCTGCTGGGGTGGACAGGGTGTTGTGTGATCAGGGCCATTGGGAGGGGGCCTCTCCCAAGATGCTGCTCATTCAGTGATTCACATTTCACAGTGGGAGCAGGGAGTAGGGTAGGGTTTCCCACCACCCTGATTGGGGCTGTGGAATTGGGAATGTCATCCTGGGGCTTGGAAACACTGCCCCCATAGTCTGGGACCTCAGCAGTCTCAGCCAATATGAACAGGCCTGGGAGCGGAGGAAGGGCAGGTTCCCCATGGCTGCTTCCCATAACCTCCTCTGAGGGTGGCTGGCAGTGGTGGCGGGGACCCTGAGAGCTCTGGGGTCAGTTTCCCAGGAGGTGGGGGTGGGGTGGGTGGGAAGTGGGGAATCACTTCTCCCACTTTCCCTTCCCTGCAGCAGTTCTACCACCTCCTCAGCCCAGGCGCTGGGCGGCCAAGGTACTCCCCACAACCCTGGGCTACAACTCCCTACTCCCCACCAGCCGACTGTAACACCTGGTGTGTGGGTGGTCCTACCTGGGGCGCTGGAGGCAGAGGGGACAGATGGGATCAGCTGGTTAGCAGTTTGTACACTTTTTGTGGCCCTTTTGTCAAGGTCTTGAAAGCAGCATTTCAAAACAAGGTACTAGTATGCCCCCCTGCCCTCCCTCTGCAGCCCCCATCACACCCATGACTCTAGCTCTGGGCACCCCTGCAGAGTTTTAGGGCTCCAGGGAATCCCTTCTTTATACACAGGGGAGACTGAGGCCTTTAGGGTGGTGTGGAGCTGCTGAGGGGCCCAGAGGAATCCTTCATCAGAGATAAAATCACATCTACCCCAGGCCTACTGTGGGTCAGGCCGAAGCCAAGCACCTTCCTCCCTACATTCCATTTAATCTTCACAACAATCTTATTCTATAGGTACCTTATTATCCCCATTTTACAGATGAGGATGCTGAGTTTCATGGAGATTAGTGACTCCTGGAAGTCACATAGCTAGAATGAGGTGACTAGCCTGGACAAGGGGGTGGCAGTAAGGTGACTCATGTCTTCCTGATTGTTTAGCCCCTCGTTTTCAGAAAAGGCACTGACTGTTGGGAGTCACCTGGTGTGTGGATGGGAAAGCAGATTAAGCCCAGCTCCAGAGAGCTCTCCCTGGCCCTTTGTTTCTCCCCTGGTGCCCCTATACACTCTGAGGTCCATGGCAGGAGGGAAGCTTGGCCAGGTAGGAGTAGCCGAGCCTTTGACAATGGCTGCAGCCAGTTTTACCAAAGGGCAAACCCAGAACCAGTTTGAAAGGCTTGAGCACTACCCAGGGCTCACATTACCAGAAGCCCATTCCACACCTGGGCTAGTGCTATTCCCACAGGGACCCACATCCTCCTCGGTGGTGTCCTGGGCAAGTCCTCAGGGTGCCTCCAATAGGAGTGAGAAAGATGGAAGGTCTCAGGTGGTCAAGTTTCCAGCACCGCCTGTGCTCTTTGCAACACACCTTGGGAGAGCACTTGCAGGTCATGTTTGACCCTCACCAGCCCTGGGGAAGTGAGGGGAGCCAGCTCAGGGAGGTTAGGCAGCCTGCCAAATAGTACTCCTAGTCTAGTGCCCTCTTCTCTGCATGGGCTGGGGCCCTGAGAATGCTCAGGAGATAGCTGGGGCTAAATCATAAGGCCTGGCCCATCAGTCCCCTACCCTTCACCCAGGGTCCCCTGCTGCTGTCTCTGTTTGTGCCACCCCCAGGACTGGAGCGAGAGCCTGGCCCGACTGGCTCAGAACAGGGCAGCCCTCTGTAGGGCCCTGGCACCAAGCCTGGCGTCCGCCCCACATCATACCCAACAGGTGGGCTGGAATGTACAGCTCCTACCTACGGCCTCAGCATCCTTTGTTGAAGTGGTCAGCCTGTGGTTCACAGAGGGGCAGCGGTACAGCCACGCAGCAGCCGAGTGTGCCCACAATGCAACCTGCACCCACTACACTCAGGTGAGTCGGTCGCAGATGGGGGTAAGGTACCAGTGCTGAGGCCCCTGAGGTCAGCTGGGGTCATCTCAGAAGAAGCTACACTTTGTCTTGAAGATACTTGAAAGAAAAATGGTTGGATCATAAGGGACACACACCTACAACTTTACTAGGTATTGCCAAAGTGCTTGCACCAACTGTACTCCCACCAGGAAACCAGTCCCCACTTTCCGGTATTGTCAGGCTCCTCAATTTGTACCAGACTCAAGACTGTGAAATGCCACCTCACTCCATTTTTTATTTGCATTTCTCTGATTAAAGATACTTAACAAACTCCTGCGGTCTAAAATCAAAGGATCAATACGTGGCACAGTAGTGGGCCGCCAGACCCCTGCTCTAGCCCAGCATTGTTCTGATTGGCAAGGACCCATACCCTGCTGGTTGTCAGATATTTTGAATGTCACTTCTGTTTATTTGGATGTGATGTGAAATAACGTGATGTGTGTGTGTGTGTGTGTGTGTTGTGTTGTGTTTTAAACTCATTGGTCAATTTGATAGTGAAATTGGCCTCTAAATTGTCTCATATCTCATACTACTCTTACCTGGGTTATAGTGTTGCCATACTGGCCTCATGAAGTGAGCTGAGGCTTTGCTTTATTTTCTATTCCCCGGAATGATTTTCTATAAGATTTTACAACTCTCCTGCAAAATTATTTTGGCCCTATTCTACTGTTTGTTTGTTTTGTGTAAATATGTGCACATATGAGTGGATTTTTAACTACTGATTCAACTTTTAAAAATGGTTATAGATCACTTCAGGTTTTCTATGTCTTCTTGAGACAGTTTTGCCAAGGTCTATTTTCTAATAAATTATTCATTTTTTTTGCACCTTTTCCAGTTTATTGGCTGTAATTATTTATTATTTGTCAGATATTTAAAACTAGAATTAGAGGTTTAAAAACTATCTATTATATAGATACTTTTAAAAACATCTATTGTATTGCTAACTATGTGTCTTAGTCATCTAGTGCTGCTGTAACAGAAAATACCACAAGTGGATGGTTTATTTTCTCACAGTCTATAGGCTAGAAATCCAAATTCAGGGTGTCACCTCCAGGGGAAGGCTTTCTCTGTTGGCCCTGGAGGAAGGTCCTTGTCATCAGTCTTCCCCTGGACTAGAAGCTTCTCTGCACAGACCCCTGGGTCCAAAGAACACACTCTGCTCCCGGAGCTCCTTTCTTGGTCGTATGAGGTCCCCCTGTCTCTCTGCTCACTTCTCTCTTTTATATCTCAGAAGAGATTAGCTTAAGACACAATCTAATCTCGTAGATCTCAACATAACTGCCGCTAATCCATCTCATTAACATCATAGTAATAGGAATTACAACACATAGGGAAATCACATCAGATGACAAAATGGTGGACAATCATACAGTATTGGGAATCATGACCTAGCCAAGTTGACATATTTTGGGGGCACAGTTCAATCCATGACACTGTGTCTCCTTTTTAATTCCCAATATTGTTTATTTGTGCCTTCTAGCTTTTATTCTTATCAGTCATCCCAGAGGTTTGTCAGTTTTATTAGTCATTTCAACAGATCACCATTTTGTTTGTTTTTATCCTGTTTTTTCTCTTTTTCACTCATTTCTGCTATTGTTTTTATTATTTTCTTTTACTTTATTTGATTTACACTATTATTATTTTTTATCTTCTTGACATGGATTCATAGTGCATTAATATTAACTCTTTATTCATTTTCACTGTATGCATTTAAGGGTATACATTTCCTTCTAAACTTCTTCAGCTGCATCTCATAAGTTTTGATATTTAGTGTTTTCATTGTCATTTAGGCCTAAGTGTTTTCTAATTTCCATTATGATGTTGTCTTTGATTTTGAAGTATATATCTAAACTTCCAAACCAGGTTTTCTCTTTTATTTACTCCTAAAGTATTTACTTTAAATCTTATTGCATTGCATTCATAGAATATGATCTGTAGAATATTGATTCTTTGGTGTCATGGATTGAATTATGTCCCCCAAAAAATGTGTATATCAATTTGGCTGGGCCATGATTCCCAGTATTGTGTGGTTGTCTTCTGTTTTGTGATTGTAATTTTATGTTAAAGGAGATTAGGGCGGGATTGTAACACCCTTACTAAGGTCACATCCTTGATCCAATGTAAAGGGAGTTTCCCTGGGGTGTGGCCTGCACTACCTTTTATCTTACAAGAGATAAAAGGAAAGGGAAGCAAGCGGAGAGTTGGAGAACCTCATACCACCAAGAAAGCTGCTTTGGGAGCAGAGCGCGTCCTTTGGACCCGGGGTTCCTGCGCAGAGAAACTCCTAGTCCAGGGAAGACTGATGACAAGGACCTTCCTCTAGAGCTGACAGAGAAATCCTTCCCCTGGAGCTGATGCCCTGAATTTGGACTTGTAGCCTACTAGACTGTGAGAGAATACATTTCTCTTTGTTAAGGCCATCCACTTGTGGTATGTCTGTTTTAGCAGCACTAGATGACTAAGACATTTGGTATTTGTTGAAACTTGCTTCATGGCTTAGTGAGGGGTTAATGTTTATAAAAGTTCATGCATTCCTAAAATGAAAGTATATTCTCTAATTGTTGGATACATATATATGACTATATATTCATATTTTCCTGCACAACCCAGGCTCATGTTTGTCATTTTTAGTGACGACTAGTTTGCTTAGCTGCTCCTTTGTACTAAGTATACATGCTGTTTCCAAGTTGTCACTGATTCTAAGACTTTAAATCTAAGTTTTGAATACTATTAAAAGCTATCCATTAGCTTTTTTTTTTTTTTTTTTT